TTTCCCAAATATCTGAACTGTGCCACATTTTCAAAACATCCGTTTCCTATCTTCATATCATGATTTTGCGCTGGATTTTGGTGACGAGACAGCAACATATACTTAGTTTTCTCAGTGTTTACTTCTAGACCAGCCTCTTTATTTGCGTCAGTTAAAGTTTGTGTGTTTTTCTTGATGGTATCTACATTATCACCCAGTAGATTCACATCATCGGCGTAGACCAACAGCTGATGTGTCCCGTTTAATTTCAGTCCCACCTGGTTCCCTGGAACTTCCTAATTGCATATCCTAAGGCAAAGTTGAAAAGGAGTGGCGATAAAGCATCTCCTTGTTTTAGACCATTCTGGAAAAGAAACTTATCAGACAAATGTTTACCTACACGGACTTTACTATACGTTTCGTTTAAACACATTTTAATTAACCTAACTAGTTTCATGGATATCCCAGACTCTATCAGAATATTGTACAATACTTCCCTCCTAACTGAATGATAGGCTTTATTGAAATCTACGAATAGCTGATGTACTGTCTTATCGTACTCCCATTTTTTCTCCAATATCTGACGAATGCAAAAGATCTGATCTGAACTGGTACAATAATAGACTCCTTCCACTGATCAGGCAATTTTTCCTTATGCCAAATATAAGTAATTAGATTGTGGATCTTAGAACGTAATATTTCGCCTCCTGCTTGAATAAGTTCTGCCGGAATTTGATCACTACCTGACGATTTATACCGTTTCAATTTTGCAATAGCAATATCAGTTTTAACCTCAAAAGGGCTACGATCAGGTACTAACGGCTCAGCTGTATGGATTTCTGTCTGCCTAACAGCACTGACCCTATTTACAGTCAATAACTGAGAAAAGTAGTTCCTCCACCTATTCAAAATGTTGTGGGAATCTGCAAGCAGATCACCATTCTCATCCTTCACTAAGTTACTGCTAGGCTGGTAACCCCTCTTAAAGATATTTATTCCCCTATACAGGTCTCTAATGTTCTTGTTCCTACTGTTCGTTGCAAGCTCATCAATTTTGTCTTTCAGTTATTCCCTCTTTTTGTTCCTGAAATGCCTGCGGGTTTCATGTCTTATATTGTTCAGATTATCCCCATTTAACTCGCTTGGATCCTGTAATCATCGCAATTTGGTCTGCTTTCTTTGGTCTAATAATTTTGAGCATCCTTCATCGAACCAAGGCTTATGCTTCTTCGGTTCATAATAACCTAGACTCTCTTTGGCAGACATTTTTATATTCTCTCTAATACTTTCCCAAGCTTTGTTAACATCCACCTCAGTTTCCACGTTTTCCAAAGCCGCAAACCTATTTCAGATTTCAACACGATACTGCCCTTTACCCTCTACCTCATTTAATTTCTTGAGATTGAACCTCTCCATATGAACTCTGTGTTCTTTGTTTGCTCACTGCCAGTCTTTCCCTAACCTTTGCCACCACCAGGTAGTGGTCAGTATCACAATCTGCTGCCCTAAATGATCGGACATCAAGTCTACTTGAGTGCCGTCTCCTGTCCGTCAAAATATGGTCTATTTGATTGTGTATCTTCCCATCAGGAGATGTCAAAGTAAATGTATGGATGTTACGATGTGGGAACATTGTCCTTTTGACAGTAAGATTTTTTGATGTGGCAAAGTTTACTACTCTAACTCCATTATCATTACTAATTACATGCAAACTCTCGTTCCCAATTGTTGGTTTGAAAATGTCTTCCCTCCCTACTTTGGCATTGAAATCTCCTAACAAAATTTTCATAGGGCACTTTGGGAATTTATCAAATACATGTTCTAGTTCTTCATAGAACCTGTCCTCTATGTCATCAATTTAACTTTTGTTGGGGCGTGAACATTCATAACAATGATATCACACCGGCGACCTTTGGGTATTATATATGGTATCCTATCACTAACGAACTCTACCCTCTTAACTGCTGATGCGATTCTCTTATGTATGAAAAAACCTGTACCTAATTCATGATTTTCATTCCCCTTTCCATAGAAAAATGTATAGTCTCCTGCTGGTGCGGTGCCACCTCCATCCCATCTGACCTCCTGTACTCCCGCTAAATCTAACTTATATTTTAAGATTTCTTCTGCCACTTCCCTGAGCGAACCTGCCCTATACAAACTTCGTACATTCCAAGTTTCAAATCTCATATCTATTTTCATTAGCTTAGGTCATTTATCCAAGGAATCCGTCCAGGTCCGAGGCTTTGTGTTCGTTTTCGTGGCAATGATTTTTTTACGGTGAGGAGTTGTTAGCCCCACGCCCAATCCCCAGGCTGGAGGGCCACCCATTGTCGGCTATCCGCAACTGCTTATTCAGTATATTCGCAGCTACCCTCCATACCTGGACGGCGTCTCCTCCATCCGCAACCTGAGGACGCGCCATGCCGCGGTGACAAGGAACGCACTTAAGGAGTCCCACCCCACTAGCAATAAAAAAAGGCCCACCCCTTAAACATAAGGCCCACATTCAGTGGTGTTCGTAAAATATAATTATAATCGTAAAACCGGGAATGTTTGTAATTGTTTGAAATTGTGAAGTGGCCTAAGGGCGAAATGAAATTTTGTCAATATTTTCATTTAATCATATTGCAACATTTGACACTGGTTGGAAATGGGGCACGTAGCAGGCATGGGGAGGTGAGAAATGCATACGAAATTTTGGTCTTAGCTTCCAGGGGAATAGATCCGTCGGGAGACCTCGGCGTGTATTGGAATAAGACAGTAAAGGTTAACATTCTCCCGTGCTTAATTAATTAAGAATTACTCCATGAAGACTTAGGGTAGTAGGGGGCACGCGGCAGCGTAGTTGGTTGAGGGGCTATGGTACAAGCCGGAAGGTCGCGGGTTCAAGTTCCGATAAGGTCATTGAATTTTTTTCAATCGACCTAATCCTTCCAGCCGCAATATGGCCCTCGGGTCGACTCAGCCTCTAAGAGAAATGAGTACCAGGAATTAATTAAATAATTTTTTGGGGGTGTAAAGCGCGGCCGGCGCGTAAGGCTGACAACCTTACCGCCATCTGTGAGCCGATTGTCTAGATAATGTGGGACCCTCAACGTCTCACAACCCTATGGGCCTTCACGGCCTGGTACAGGGATAGCTTTATTTATTTTTTTTTACTTTAAAGGTATAGCAGAACATGGAGGTGATTTATAAGCGTCAGACCCCGGCCGCTTTATCCCCGGGGAAAAAGCCTCCGGTAGAAATCGGATAGCTGTCTGGGTGGGCCCCAGAATCGGTCTGGAATCTGTGGAAAAGAGAAGAGTCTCTTGTCATACTCTTCGAGTATGGAACCCCGATTTCTCGGTCATGCAGCCCCCAATACTGTAGTATTTAAATTGAGCTTGGGAAGTGGGGTGTGAGGGCATGGTCTGATTCACCTGCAGCAGGATAGAATACAGAGGCGGGAGCATATAATACTTTGTGGCTTTAGTCCGCACACTAACTATACCGACCGAGCGACCGCCCCTTGTCGGCGAAGTTAGTACCAACTTTTGCGGGTAGATGGTGTCTCATGGTCAGCGCAACGAATCCCCACGGCCGTTAATTTCGCTTTTCTACACCGGAGCCGCTATTCCCTTGAAATAGCTCCTCAGTTATGCTCACGAGGCTGAGTGGACCCGTTCCAGACCCACTACTTCTCAGAAAATCTGGTAGCGCCGGGAATCGAACCTGGGACCACAGAGGCGGGAGCATGATAATGAATACTGGAGTTGCATAAAGGGCGGAATATTTCCTGACCAGTTGCGAATATGTGTCGGCCTGCACCCACGACATTTGGGCTTCCGTTTGCTGTACGCGAGACTGTGATGGTATCGGACCCCAGTTTCCAGGCAACACGATCCCGGAGGTTGGCACCGGATTGCTTTGACATGAAGTTCGTTACCGCATCCTCTCAGATCCCGCTTACCAACCAATCATGTTCACTTTCACACTCCTCTGTCGCTACATAAGTATTCAGGACTCTGACCATCTCGGAGACCTGTTCGTGGCTGCTGGTAGCCCTCGCAGCGTCCTCACATCGAAGTTGAGAACATCTAAACGTGTTTCCCTGTTCTCTTAATAAGCTTTAGTG